CCAAGATGAAATAATATGGGAATAAATATTTACAAAATATAATTGTATTTTTCCATGCAAATAAATATTTCTTTCAATCTTTGTTAGGTCATGAGGCTTCAGAATACAAGCCAAACATGCATGACATGGTACTTATGTCTACAATATGGGCATTAAAGAAATAAGGTAAAAGATAAGTATACCCACAGGAATCGTAGTTTTGACAGCTTGCCCAAGGTGTCTGGGATTGGACCTGAAAAACTATTCAAATAAAGATCCAAGCTCACCAAGGTGGTTAGGTTCCCCAGTTCCCTAGGAATTGGTCCACTTATGTTATTACTGTAGAGTTCCCTATCATAAAGGAAAGAAAAAGATTAAGTTTAAAAGATAGTTCAGGAAAACTGTGCAATACCATCAGATGGTTCAGGCGAACAAATGATATGAAAAATCTAGATTGTGATCTTAAAGCGTGTATGCCAAGAAAAAATAACAATGTTAGATAGTATTAATAAGTTATTTCCAGATAATCTGCCAAAAGAACCCAACATTTCCTTCAGGTCTGGGTCTGGGCATACAAAGATGTTATTACAATATGGCTTTCCCCCAAGGATCAGCTGCAACGAACATCCCAAAGAAGGGCAGAAGATAATCCCAAAATCAAATATAAAGTTGTACATAAATAATAGCATGCAAATTTTATCCACTGTAACAACTAAGCTATCACTGAAACTATTCTAATATCATAGAACACAGCTCCTGATAAACAATATTTTTGATCTGGATGAGAAGCAACCAAAAACAAAACACCAGTTAACAATTTTGCAAACACTGAATGCATGTTAGATGACAAATTTGAGAACATTACGGGACTTAGATACTGTGAACTAAATAAAATTTGACCTACCAATAAGGGAAAGATCTCCACATGGAGCCACATCTCACTGGTCAGAAATGACGAGCTACCAGAACTGTCACAAAGAACTTTCAAAGTTTCTGATAGAAGCTTGCTACAAAAGTCTAAATCAATAAATAGATTACAATTTTGGGTTGATCTAAACTGGTCTCAACTTGATTACAAAAGGTTGTATATTTTGCAGTTCATGTCAATATCTGGTTTGGTTTAGTTTTCATCCAGGTATAAAATATACAAGTTCTAGTAGTCATAGAAAAACCTCCTTTAAAATAGACAACACAAGTGCTCATAAGGACAATAAGTGTGATTCTGCAAATGATGAATGCAAGCACATATGTTATCCTGCTAACTGGGCAAGAACAGGTTGGCTGATCAAAAAGCTTGCACTTGCTTCCCCCACCCATGTCTATACTCTGAAATGATTAGCTATTTACATTATCCTATGCAGTATGCAATCATGAGGCTTGCTTTATATTATCAACAAGCTGTCCTCCATAAGTTTGTCTAACTATCAAGTATCATATGGTTGAATTGATTCAACTGTGAAATAAATAAAAAGTATATTATGACGTGTGTATCTAGGGAATAGTTGCTTCAAAGTGAATTTTCCCTATAGATACATCTATTAAATTAAATTTTGGACCTATCAGAATATATGGATTGTGCTCAAGATTCAAGATTCAAAACAAATTTTTATCTGTTTAGGCAAAACTTTAGAAAAAAAGAAGTAAATAACTCGTAAAAATTTATTCGAAATGCTTTTATTTTTCTAGAATTTTCAATATATGTTTGACATCTTCTATGCGAAAATGTTTAATTTTCAATCGTAAGCCTTTTCTACATCCATACGATCTATTAAAGTAGATTGATTTTGCCCATATAATGAAAGTAGATCTAGGTCCATGTCATTTTAAAGATACTTTCGAGATTGAGTAGAATAATTTGCAATAACTTAACTGTACTCATCAACTTGGGAAACCTCATTTTGTTTACCTTTACTTTTATAACAAAATCTAAATGAATACCTATCCCAACACAATGCCACCTTTTTCTTTAAAGTAAGCCCCAACCCATCACCAACCTTCGTAGTCAAGGTTTAAGGGCCTACTACTTACCATTAATACTTCTCAAACCCTCATAACTTTAAGTCCTTCCGTTAAGTAGATACCAGTATATCTAACTGAACTAGAAAAAAATTCAAAGAGCAGGCTAAGTTCTTCACCATCATAGTGCTTGATTTACATTTATTTGACGTAACTGTATTTGCACATCAAGTTTGCTAACCAATCTGACAACCATGACCCTAATTCAATGTATTAGTATTGCCAGTGAAGTAGCTCAATGAAAGTTCTTCCAAATGGAGAGAATATCGTGCCCCCAACAACCTGATAGCCCATGGCCTAGGCTCCACCATGGCGCTAAGCTGATAACTACATTCTTTCATATGCATAACAATCAAATAACTATGTATTAAAGCAAATGGAATGAGTATAACTACAATAGGACAAACAATACTTAGGAAAAGAATGAAAGCAATAGCGCAGAATTAAACTACAAAGTAACTTACAGATACTGTAAATTCTTGAGAAGGCCAAGCTGCGGAACAAGTTGACCAGACAAGGCTGCGTTTCCAAGATCACTGAGATTACACATAAAACAAATCATGAAGAGTATTCTTCCGAAAGGGAGTGATACAAAAGCATTTTCTTTAAAGATGTCAGGAGTGAGAAAACATACACTCTTATGACGCTATTTTCATTGTTGCATGTAACATGAAACCACGTACAAGGGTTCACAAGAGTAGGATCCCAACTTTGCAGGACATTGTTGGGGTCCTCCAAGTTGGTTCTTAGATTATGCAAGGCATCACCTGTTTGTAAAAACAAGAAAAGCAATTAGTTGCGCACCACAAGCCATAAACACACTGGAAAGTCGTAACCTATCAGACCATAAAGTTTGAATTTTGAAGAGCACGCTATTCTAGAAAATCCAGAACGAAATATAAAACCATCATGCAGAAAAAACATATAATCCATAGAGATACAAATTTGTGGAATTTGTGGGACTTGATGTACAAAGCAAAACTCAAGCCTCACAATTGATCACAAGCAGAAACATATGATTGAATTCAGGTTTACATTCATAAAGTTCTGTGGGTATAACACTTCATTAACTACGGAAGGCAACTACTACCCTCAAAGTCTTGTTGACTCATAAGACTTACAAAATAGATAGAGGTTTTACACAGAAATCACACATCAAAAGGCCATAACTGGGAAATCAAATAATGGCACTTAATATCAATTGTAGCAACCGAAACACCAATACAAGCCGTAAAATAGTACGATTCTTCAACGCTTTATCACATTAAAGTTCAACTTCCACTTCATTACATTTAATAGTTCTCAAAGCAAATTGAAAGCTTAAGAAAACACTCTAGTATTCAAGATTCATAAATGGCTTTCAAGTCCCAGTACAAGGTATGCGACTAAGTTTAAATGAGCATACCAAATTCTACTACCCCATAAAATTTTACAGCAACCTATTTCCAGAAATTCATAATCTCAAGAAAATAAATAAATTTATTAAATTTTTTTGTACTAAAAAGATAACAAATTATAAAGGAAAATCGGCAAAAGTAAAGCTAGCTGAAGAAAGCAAACAAGTACAGACCTTCCATATTAGCAAGCACCATTGTCATCCATAGTGGATGAGCTACCAAGATCAACCAGAGACAAACTGAATTCCCAACCTTTCTCTCCATTTCTCTCACTTGCTTTTTACGAGTCTCAGATCCAAATGGTATCTCACCCCCAAACACACCATCCCAGAAACCCCCCAAACCGACCCCAACTCACTCAGATTACCAAATCCCAGCTCACAAATCTCAACCTAACAACAAACCCACCATTACCCACTTCCCCAAATCACAAAAATCACCCACTCTACCAAGATCAAAACCCTAAGATCTCACCAACAAAAAAACAACCAACCAATCAAAAAAAAAAATCACAGATTTGCAACCATTCCATTCGCTTTCTCTGCTACCCTTTTCGCCGAACTTCCCCTTTTGCTCGCTCTCCCTCTCCCTCTCCCTCTCCTCTCAGCATTTGTGTGGGATTCTTATTTCTTAATAGTTATCTCTCTCTCTCTCTTTATTTTTTATTTTTCTAATTTCGCTTTTTTGAGTGAGGCGTGCGCACACACAGAGAGCGATGAGTGAGAGAGAGAGAGAGAGAGAGTGTGGAGTGAGAGTGCAAACAGGGAGAGGGAGAGCTGCCCGAACAGTGCTGACCGGTGCCCGGTGGCAGACTCAAAACGGCTTCGCGCTCGTATCGTGGAAAGGGACGTGACCGTGGGCAGGGCAACCCCGTTTCCCATTCAAATCCTGGGCTTGAGTACGTGGGGGCCCACATCATTAGCCACTTCAGATTCGGTCCAACACATAGTTTTATTTGATCATCAAGGAAGGGAAGTGAAGCCAAGCAGTCGTATTACAACACAATTTTATTTGATTACGACATTACTATTATTTTTTTATTTTTCTCTGGATTCTGAGTTGTTGTACACTTTTGTATTGTGTCACAATATTTATGCACATTGGAATTATTAGGCTGTATCTATCCCTGACAGTGTTTTCGTCTTTGTGGCAACCAGGTCTTGATTTAACCTACCTAGGTAAAAAATGAAAAGGAAGGAAACATGCTAAGTTAAAACTGAAAATGGGCTTTGAAAAGTTTATGATAAAGTAGCGTTTGTCAGAAGTCGGATAAATAACTTGGAGCAAAGAGAATTACTTCGAGAGTAAAAAGATTATACGGAGGACGTGTTTACCAATCCGTAATCGGCATGATAACAAGGAATCCAATTCCGATTATGGCTCATTCTTGTGTTTACTGACATTGGCAATTGTAAATTATATATATCTGATTGTTTTCTGGGTTTATTCTTGCTGGTGGAAGATGAACGTGGCTGGGCTTTAAGCTTAATATAAATTATATATATTATAATTTGCCAATTGTAACTTGTAAGCAGTGGCGGATCCAGGATTTCAAGATCGGGGGATTCCAAGATAAAAGTTCAAAAAAAAAAAAAAATATTAGACTAGTTTGGTTCCATAGCACTATTTTTTATTGAATTTGGTTCATTGAATAATCAAAATGAATCAACCACATCAAGTGACCAAGTGGTAAGGGCGCGGATTTCGGCTCTTAAAATACAAAAAACAGGGAGGTCCCGGGTTCAAGGCTCCAAGCTAGTGAGTCTGCTTGACTGTGGCCATGAGAAAGCTGAAATGCCTTTGTGAGTCTTCTAGGCCCCTAAAAAGGGTGGATAATCGTGACTTACCACTAGTTGTCCCGCTTTACAAAGATGAAATTTATTAATGTAACATATATATGGAGTTAAGACTAACAAAAATTAGAAACCTCTTCTTCTTCTTTGTAAGCACTGCTGCATGCACATCCATGGAGGCAACAAGCCTCTTCGCTGCACGTGCCCAAATTGTTGGAGGGTCCCGAAGGTCGATTACAAGTGTTTCTTCGGGCTTCCAGAGGATCCCGGGACCTCCCGGGTCCCTATATGGATCCGTCCATGCTTGTAAGACATATCAACTTTGCATTTGGGTACTTTTAAATGTGTTGGACCTCCATACTTGAAATCTTGATTACACATTACAAAAAGAAATTGTTACTGTTTATAAGTCTAGTTCGAGCCATTGAGAAAAAGAAAGAGAAAGCTGTGCAGCTTTATATAGTTAACTTATATATATAGTTTTGGAAAATAGATCACGGCTCATGGAACGATCCATATTAGAGCCAATAATAGAAGATCGACTTAATTAAGATCAAACTTCTTATAATCTTCTTAACATTACTCTTTAACAAATGCTTTGATGTTCCTACGTACATCTTCTTATAATCTTCTTAACATTACTCTTTAAAAGGAAACGAAAAATACTGTCCAAGTAATGTATAAAACTGCAACCACTATAAACAAAACTAGTAACTCCTTGCAAGAGAACTTAACAATAATAACCATGCTACATATAGATGTTAAAACTTAAAACATTCTAGTCTAAGACTAGGTAGCACCTTGGGCGAAGATATGCGATGTCGCTTCAGGAAGAAACATGTTACACAGATCACCTAAACCCCTGAAATCTAATAGTCAACAAAAGGAAAAATTACCTGGTATTGAAATTGGCGGTGGGGGGACAAATGGTGGGGGAGGTGAAAATGGAGGAGATCCTGGGCAGAGGCGACCAGTTACTGGGCCACATAGATTCATGTTGTTAGCAAAACTGCAAATGGGAGAGAACAGTCATTCAGAAATCGTTAACAATAGAGTCAGTAAATGCAAGAAAAGTTTGTACATTAACAAGAAACCTTATGGGAGTGAATAAAGAAAAGGAGCCATTGTCTGGAACTACTCCTGAGAGACGATTATTTGATAGATCCCTGCATTTTGAAATCAATATCAGACCATAGAGTCTTGCAACGAACAATACTAAACATGAGATGTGACGTGTGCGAGAGACTGGGATCAGATTGGCACTCACAGTACTTGAAGTGAATAGATATTAGTCAATGACATGGGAATCGGACCCGCCAAGCTGTTGTTGTTAAGCCGCCTATCCTTGCACAAAGGATTTCAAGAAAATACATGGTAAGATCTACAATCAATCAACGAATATTCCACATTTGAATCAATAATAGACAACAACATAAATAATTTATGCTAGTCTAACAGAACAGCACAAGCACAACGTTTTATATATGTTTTTTTTTTTAGAAGAAACGATAACACTTTATTAAATAAAACAAGAATTACAAAATAGTGGATAAGAAATTCACCATGTTTGTATATGTTTGGACTGAAATGTTTGTACACTTGTTTGTATAATATAATTATGATGATTTTATAACACTATATGTTTGTTTTCGTGAAGGCCCACAAAGATTGAACTTAGGCTCATTTATACAATCAACATCCCAGGGATTTTCTATGCTCACGGAACCCTAAACCTTTATTTTGCCTCTTCTACAAATGAAGCGCATGGATTTGTTATTTTATCACTGAATGTACCTTTTCAAATCCAAATTTAGAATCTTAAATGTGAAGCAGCTCATTTCAAAGTATCATGGCATATATTATTTTCCTTTCTTCCATTTACCAAGATGAAATAATATGGCAATAAATATTTACAAAATATAATTGTATTTTTCCATGCAAATAAATATTTCTTTCAATCTTTGTTAGGTCATGAGGCTTCAGAATACAAGCCAAACATGCATGACATGGTACTTATGTCTACAATATGGGCATTAAAGAAATAAGGTAAAAGATAAGTATACCCACAGGAATCGTAGTTTTGACAGCTTGCCCAAGGTGTCTGGGATTGGACCTGAAAAACTATTCAAATAAAGATCCAAGCTCACCAAGGTGGTTAGGTTCCCCAGTTCCCTAGGAATTGGTCCACTTATGTTATTACTGTAGAGTTCCCTATCATAAAGGAAAGAAAAAGATAAGTTTAAAAGACAGTTCAGGAAAACCGTGCAATACCATCAGATGGTTCAGGCAAACAAATGATATGAAAAATCTAGATTGTGATCTTAAAGCGTGTATGCCAAGAAAAAATAACAATGTTAGATAGTATTAATAAGTTATTTCCAGATAATCTGCCAAAAGAACCCAACATTTCCTTCAGGTCTGGGTCTGGGAATACAAAGATGTTATTACAATATGGCTTTCCCCAAGGATCAGCTGCAATGAACATTCCAAAGAAGGGCAGAAGATAATCCCAAAATCAAATATAAGGTTGTACATAAATAATAGCATGCAAATTTTATCCACTGTAACAAGTAAGTTATCACTGAAACTAGTCTAATATCATAGAACACAGCTCCTGATAAACAATATTTTTGATCTGGATGAGAAGCAACCAAAAACAAAAAACCAGTTAAACAATTTCGCAAACACTGAACGCATGTTAGATGACAAATTTGAGAACATTCCCACAAATACACACGGGCCTTAAATACTGTGAACTAAATAAAATTTGACTACCAATAAGGGAAAGATCTCTACATGGAGCCACATCTCATTGTTCAGAAATGACGAGCTACCAGAACTGTGACAAAGAACTTTCAAAGTTTCTGATAGAAGCTTGCTACAAAAGTCTAAATCAATAAATAGATTACAATTTTGGGTTGATCTAAACTGGTCTCAACTTGATTACAAAAGGTTGTATATTTTGCAGTTCATGTCAATATCTGGTTTGGTTTAGTTTTCATCCAGGTATAAAATGTACAAGTTCCAGTAGTCATAGAAAAACCTCCTTTAAAATAGACTACACAAGTGCTCATAACGACAATAACTGTGATTCTGCAAATGATGAATGCAACCACAGATGTTATCCTGCTAACTGGGCAAGAACAGGTTGGCTGATCAAAACGCTTGCACTTGCTTCCCCCACCCATGTCTATACTCTGAAATGATTAGCTATTTACATTATCCTATGCAGTATGCAATCATGAGGCTTGCTTTATATTATCAACAAGCTGTCCTCCATAAGTATGTCTAACTATCAAGCATCATATGGTTGAATTGATTCAACTGTGAAATAAATAAAAAGTATATTATGATGTGTGTATCTAGGGAATAGTTGCTTCAAAGTGAATTTTCCCTATAGATACATCTATTAAATTAAATTTTGGACCTATCAGAATATATGGATTGTGCTAAAGATTCAAGATTCAAAACAAATTTTTATCTGTTTAGAGAAGTAAATAACTTGTAAAAATTTATTCGAAATGCTTTTATATTTCTAGAATTTTCAATATATGTTTGACATCTTCCATGCGAAAATGTTTAATTTTCAATCGTAAGCCTTTTCTACATCCATACGATCTATTAAAGTAGATTGATTTTGCCCATATAATGAAAGCATATCTAGGTCCATGTCATTTTAAAGATACTTTCGAGATTGAGTAGAATAATTTGCAATAACTTAACTGTACTCATCAACTTGGGAAACCTCATTTTGTTTACCTTTACTTTTATAACAAAATCTAAATGAATACCTATCCCAACACAATGCCACCTTTTTCTTTAAAGCAAGCACCAACCCATCACAAACCTTCGTAGTCAAGGTTTAAGGGCCTCCTACTTACCGTTAATACTTCTCAAACTCTCATAACTTTAAGTCCTTCCGTTAAGTAGATACCAGTATATCTAACTGAACTAGAAAAAAATTCAAAGAGCAGGCTAAGTTCTTCACCATCATAACGCTTGGTTTATGTTTATTTGACGTAACTGTATTTGCACATCAAGTTTGCTAATCAATCTGACAACCATGACCCTAATTCAATATATTAGTATTGCCAGTGAAGTAGCTCAATGAAAGATCTTCCAAATGGAGAGAATATCATGCCCCCAACAACCTGATAGCCCATGGCCTAGGCTCCACCATAGCGCTAAGCTGATAACTACATTCTTTCATATGCATAACAATCAGATAACTATGTATTAAGGCAAATGGAATGAGTATAACTACAATAGGACAAACAATACTTAGGAAAAGAATGAAAGCAACAGCGCACAATTAAACTACAAAGTAACTTACAAATACTGTAAATTCTTGAGAAGGCCAAGCTGCGGAACAAGTTGACCAGATAAGGCTGCGTTTCCAAGATCACTGAGATTACACATAAAACAAATCATGAAGAGTATTCTTCCGAAAGGGAGTGATGCAAAAGCATGTTCTTCAAAGATGTCAGGAGTGAGAAAACATACACTCTTATGACGCTATTTTCATTGTTGCATGTAACATGAAACCACGTACAAGGGTTCACAAGAGTAGGATTCCAACTTTGCAGGACATTGTTGGGGTCCTCCAAGTTGGTCCTTAGATTATGCAAGGCATCACCTGTTTGTAAAAACAAGAAAAGCAATTAGTTGCGCACCACAAGCCATAAACACACTGGAAAGTCGTAACCTATCAGACCATAAAGTTTGAATTTTGAAGAGCACGCTATTCTAGAATATCTGGAACGAAATATAAAACCATCATGCAGAAAAAACATATAATCCATAGAGATACAAATTTGTGGAATTTGTGGGACTTAATGTACAAAGCAAAACTCAAGCCTCACAATTGATCACAAGCAGAAACATATGATTGAATTCAGGTTTACATTCATAAAGTTCTGTGGGTATAACACTTCATTAACTACGGAAGGCAACTACTACCCTCAAAGTCTTGTTGACTCATAAGACTTACAAAATAGATAGAGGTTTTACACAGAAATCACACATCAAAAGGCCATAACTGGGAAATCAAATAATGGCACTTAATATCAATTGTAGCAACCGAAACACCAATACAAGCCGTAAAATAGTACGATTCTTCAACGCTTTATCACATTAAAGTTCAACTTCCACTTCATTACATTTAATAGTTCTCAAAGCAAATTGAAAGCTTAAGAAAACACTCTAGTATTCAAGATTCATAAATGGCTTTCAAGTCCCAGTACAAGGTATGCGACTAAGTTTAAATGAGCATACCAAATTCTACCACCCCATAAAATTTTACAGCAACCTATTTCCAGAAATTCATAATCTCAAGAAAATAAATAAATTTATTAAATTTTTTTGTACTAAAAAGATAACAAATTATAAAGGAAAAAGAATGAGAAAAAGGAAAATCGGCAAAAGTAAAGCTAGCTGAAGAAAGCAAATAAGTACAGACCTTCCATATTAGCAAGCACCATTGTCATCCATAGTGGATGAGCTACCAAGATCAACCAGAGACAAACTGAATTCCCAACCTTTCTCTCCATTTCTCTTACTTGCTTTTTACGAGTCTCAGATCCAAATGGTATCTCACCCCCAAACACCATCCAATTTGGTTTAATATCATTATTTTCTATTGAATTTGGTTCATTAAATAAATCGAGATTAACCTTAAAGGTAATAAAACCAACAAATTCTACTCAGCAACATAACGCAATTAGTGAATCTACAAAGATAAAATTTGTTAACGTAACATATATATTATTAATTGGGAGTTGGGACTAGAGTCTAGGATTAAAAAACTTATATGAATTTAGAAGAAATAAAATTAGGCAGCTAAAGGCGGTGGAACGGCAAATGGTGGTGGGGAATAGGGGAACTTGGGTTTAAAGTTGGAAGGTTGCGACGATTGGGGCTGGGAGTTCCTAAATATAATTTGGGGATACTGGAAAAGACTGGGGTTCTCGGGCTCTGTAGAGAAAACAGAGATATTTTAATTTTAAAATTTTTTATAATGACCTGGCTCAAAAACGTTGTTGTTTTGGCTAGGTCTTTTAAAACAAAAATTAAAAACCTCTTCTTCTCCTTTGTTATAAGCACTACTGCCTGCAGAAACCCCCCAAACCGACCCCAACTCACTCAGATTACCAAATCCCAGCTCACAAATCTCAACCTAACAACAAACCCACCATTACCCACTTCCCCAAATCACAAAAATCACCCACTCTACCAAGATCAAAACCCTAAGATCTCACCAACAAAAAAAAACCAACCAATTAAAAAAAAAAATCACAGATTTGCAACCATTCCATTCGCTTTCTCTGCTACCCTTTTCGCCGAACTTCCCCTTTTGCTCGCTCTCCCTCTCCCTCTCCTCTCAGCATTTGTGTGGGATTCTTATTTCTTAATAGTTATCTCTCTCTCGCTCTCTTTATTTTTTATTTTTATTTTTATTTTTCTAATTTCGCTTTTTTGAGTGAGGCGTGCGCACACGCAGAGAGCGATGAGTGAGAGAGAGAGAGAGAGAGAGAGTGTGTGTGTGGAGTGAGAGTGCAAAAAGCAGGGAGGGGGAGAGCTGCCCGAACAGTGCTGACCGGTGCCCGGTGGCAGACTCAAAACGGCTTCGCGCTCGTATCGTGGAAAGGGACGTGACCGTGGGCAGGGCAACCCCGTTTCCCATTCAAATCCTGGGCTTGAGTACGTGGGGGCCCACATCATTAGCCACTTCAGATTCGGTCCAACACATAGTTTTATTTGATCATCGAGGAAGGGAAGTGAAGCCAAGCAGTCGTATTACAACACAATTTTATTTGATTACGACATTACTATTATTTTTTTATTTTTCTCTGGATTCTGAGTTGTTGTACACTTTTGTATTGTGTCACAATATTTATGCACATTGGAATTATTAGGCTGTATCTATCCCTGACAGTGTTTTCCTCTTTGTGGCAACCAGGTCTTGATTTAACCTACCTAGGTAAAAAATGGAAAGGAAGGAAACATGCTAAGATAAAACTGAAAATGGGCTTTGAAAAGTAAGTAGCGTTTGTCAGTAGTCGGATAAATAACTTGGAGCAAAGAGAATTACTTCGAGAGTAAAAAGATTATACGGAGGACGTGTTTATCAATCCGTAATTGGAATGATAACAAGGAATCCAATTCCGATTATGGCTCATTCTTGTGTTTACTGACATTGGGAGGAATCAAGAGTTTGTTGGACCCACAAGAAAAATGGAATTCAATTCCTGATATTGGAGGAATTGGTCTCCCTTCATGTATGAGGTAATTGAATTCCCGAAAGGTGAGGGAATCAAGAATACATTTGCTCTTCCTATCATGCCCTCCTATCAATCTTCCCTTCAACGATCTCGACCACACCTCCATGAAATCCGATAGGTAAAGAGACCTTGTGGGTCGCATACAAGATCTCGTTCACGAACACTGGATCACCATCGTTCAGGAGGCAATGGACCAGACGGCAAATGCTTCGACACCGCTGACAGAAACCGTGGATGTAGCCCTAGGACGATAACGTTAACGTCAGTATTTCGCAAACGTGCTTCTCGCTCGCTGGCTCATCCTCGTACGACGTTGCTTTGACGATTGCGATCGTGACCTTAGCGATGTCGATGCTTGTCTGGTCTTGACGGCTCTGATTGTTTTCTGGTTTTATTCTTGCTGGTGGGAAGATGAACGTGGCTGGGCTTTAAGCTTATATATATATATATTATAATTTAATTTATACATAGTAATTGACATTTAACTCTACTTTAACTAAATAAATAAAAATAACAAACTAAAATGTTTTTAAAAATAAATATAGAATAAAATAAAACAAAAAAAAATAAGACCATTTTAGTAATCATATTGATTTTTATTCCGATTCAGTTGAACTAGTAGACAACTTATATGAAGTCAGTTGAATTCTTATTCCGATTCCTGAACATTTAAGTAAACAACTTCAACAGAAACCCGATTCTGACTCCTTTTCATTCTAATTCCTTCTCAATCCAATTCCTCTTATTTTGATTACGGTTATGTAAACGAGCCATGAAGGATAAGTTTGTTCTATATAAGGTAGCAGAAAGAAAACAGAATGACGCTCAACTCACAACACAAAAAGACTTAAAGTTTTGTAGGCTACCTTTTCTAAGTTCCTTTTATAGTTCAGCACATTTGCAATTGTATTTATGTTTTAAGCTCTAATGCATTGCTTGTAGTATTGATTTCTTTTAAGAAAACTTCATTCCAAAGCACTTCAGCAACTAGCAAAATAGGTGTAAACTTTCCTTATCTCTTGTGCTTAGTATTTCTTCAGGTTATTACTTTATTGTTGGATATTTTATAAGTATTAACGTAATTTCCTTTATGTACTTACATTTTCAAGAACCATGAAGAAGAGTGCGCTTTGAATGGTTGCTCAATCATAACCAATGCTTGGAGTGACCCAAAAAAAAAAAGCATAATAAATTTGTATGTCAATTGCAAGGAAGGCACACCATATTTGTTTGTTCTAAGGAATGCTCTAGTGAAGCACACATCAGGGAATGCATATTTGAATATGTTGACAAGTGTGTTGAAAATTGGGCCTAAAAATGTAGGTCAAGCAGTGACCGATAATGCTCTAACATTATGGCGATGGGCAACGTGATGAAGAAAAAGAGCCAAACATATTTTGGACATCATGTGCCACTCACATTTTGAATCTCATGCTTCAAAGGATTGGTAATCTCCCTAAGTTCAAAGGAGTTACTGACAAAGTAAAGACTTTCCCTATCTTCATTTATGCACATCATAAAACTTTGACATTGATGAGGAAGCATACGAAGAAAAGAGACATAGTGAGGCCTGAAGTCATTAGATTTGCAACTTTTTTCCTCACAATGCAAAGCTTAAGTGATAAGAAAAAAGACTTGAAGATTATGGTTGCTGGTGATGAATGGGAACAATGCAAACATTCTAAGAGTACAAAGGGGAAAACGACATATGCTGCGAGTGCACATTTTTGGAATGGGGCCTCATTTTGCTTCAAAGTGTGTGAACCTTTATTTAAGGTACTTCGAATTTTGGAAGGGGATAAAAAGTCAACAATGAGGTTATTGTATGGAGAGCTACAAAAAGTAAAGAAGGAGATTAAAGAGGCATTCAAGAACAATGAGGCCAATTATCAACCAATTCTTATTGATGGAAAAAATTAGTGAGCGGCTTGATAGTCCATTAGATTTGGGTGGCTACCTCTTGAGCCCTTATTACTTCTTTAAAGATCAAAGCATACAATGTGATCTAATGTAATGGATGGGATTTTTGCTTGTGTTGAGAAGTTCTTCCCCGATAACTATGAGGTCCAAAACCAAGTGATAAATGTTGAGATGCATAAGTATAGAGGAAAAGAAAGTGGATTTGGAAGACATTTGCCTAAGATTGGATGCGCTGAGAATGATGACAACTATAATCCGGATATGAATATTCATTATTAAATTTAGCTTTACTACTTATTTTTCTTTACCAATTGTGTGCTTTTTTTCTTCCTTAGTTGCATGGTGATATAATTATGAAAAATGGTGTACCTAATTTGCAAAAGATGACTATAAAGATTCTCTCATTGATTACAAGCTCATCAAGTTGTGAGAAATTTGAGCACACTTTAAGGGATACATACAAAGAAAATGAATAGACTAGATATGATAAGGTTAGATAATTTAGTCTATGTCTAATTCAATGCAAGGATCATGAACAAGAAGAAAAGAGAGAAGGAGACGAAAGTGGACATACTACTTCCATGATAACTAGTATGGTGCAAGGATGGATTGTGGATGGTGGTGATGAAGAATTTGAGTTTGGTTTGGGAATGGATGGAGAGACATCAGAGGTGGGTAGTTCCCTAGAGCCTAGGAGAAGTTCTAGAAATGTTGAAGTAAGCGAACTTCATGAAGAAAATTTTGTATCAAATGAGGACACGAAAGAAGAAGAAAAAGATGATGAAGAAGTTGAATTTGAGTCCAATTGGAGGGATATGGACAAGAAGACAGTGATGCCTAGCTTTGCAACTTTGTAAGTATCTTATATTATTATATTTTCTTATTCCTCCTATTTTGCATTTTGTGTTTTCAAATTGTGACTTGTTGGCTACATGTATGTTTTTAAATTTTGGACTTGTTGGATACATGTACTTTATTGTATTCTTCTACTTCTATTTTTTCATTTCATCATTCTTTTATTATCTTATCCATACTAGTGTAGCTTTTTTTTTTTTTTTTTTTTTTTTTTTTTGAAATATCAATAGGCACTTGCAAAGCAATATATACAATAATTTTACTTAAATTTGCCTAGGCGCTAGGCCCCAGCCGCCCGCTCCTTGCATCTTTTAAAATCTTATGTATGACAAAGGAATTTTATAAATAATTCTCTTCATCTTTCTTTGTTGTTGTATTGATTATAACCAACCGATATATAATTGAGATAACATATTGTATGTTATTTATTATTTTCTGTTGTGTATTTAAGTATTCAAATTAAATTTATCTTAATGATATGTTCGAATCCCAACAAACAAACCATGCAAACTTAAATTTGAAAGAAAGCTATAGAGCATTTAATGTTTTC